TACACATTTTTTTCAAAAAAATATATATATATATATATATATATATATATATATATATATATATATATATATATATATACGATACTATTAATATTTATTATATTAATATTAACAATAATCGCACTAATTCATCGGTTCGACAACAGTAGTTTAGTTAGGTTAGAAACCGCGAGCATCCAAAAATATATACATACAGGGTGTCCCAAAAATGTCTCGCAATCCGAAAGTAGGGAATTCCCGAGGTGATTTGAAGCAACTTTTTCCTTAGCGAAAATGCAATCAGTCGCTCCGTTTACGAGTTATTAACGAAAAACAGTGACCAATCAGAGGCGAGATCGTTTGGCGCGAGACGGTCGAGCCAATGAGCGGAACTGGGCTCCGCGCACTCGTTGGCTGGACCGCCGCGCGCCAGCCGAGCTCGCCTCTTATTGGTCGGTGTTTTTCGTTAATAACTCGTAAACAAAGCCGCGGAGAAAATGACCGCAGGAACCTCCTATTTCCGGATTGCGAGACATTTTTGTGACACCCTGTATATATTTTTGGCGCAGAAATATATACTTCTGGGTGCTCGCGGTTTCCAAACTCAACTAAACTCCCGTTGTCGAACCGATGAATTAATTGATACGATGGGGAGATAAATATTTAAAGGGTCCAGCATTTATTTTGCTTTTACGCGTGCCGAACAATGTAGAATACAACTGTGTACATTGTCAAAGCTCCAGGCATTCGTTTACGTGTGATACGGGGATGGAAAGACAAAAACTTTATCTTTTATTTTCTCGGTGATTGCTGGACCGCGGATTTTATGCGTTTCTGGGAAAAAATCGGAAGATGAAATGCGAAACTGTGAAAACATTTGAAGAGTTTAAAAAGACTACTGCGTTACTATCGATTGCTATCGATTAATGCGAACTGTTTTTATTTTACGTAAAACTCCGCGGTCTAGTTATTACATAAGATAATTTAGACGAAATAGAGAAGCGAAGACGAAGCTGCAAATTAGCTTCCTTTAGGATACTTTTTCAGAATTTTCAATCGATTACCAAGGGCTAAAAAACGTAATTCATTTTTCAAGGGAGATTTTCACGAGCAACCCATTGTTTAAACAATTTGGAACGATGTTCTGGCATTTGTTTATTGTTCACGAAGGTTTCGAGATGATGTAATCGATGGAACATGGTTTCGTAATTTTTAAAATTTATTGAAACTCTCGGATCTCCGTTATTTTTATATATGTTACCGATCTTGACGTTTCGAATCGCGAAGAACAGCGTTTAACGCACNATATATATATATATATATATATATATATATATATATATATATATATATATATACGATACTATTAATATTTATTATATTAATATTAACAATAATCGCACTAATTCATCGGTTCGACAACAGTAGTTTAGTTAGGTTAGAAACCGCGAGCATCCAAAAATATATACATACAGGGTGTCCCAAAAATGTCTCGCAATCCGAAAGTAGGGAATTCCCGAGGTGATTTGAAGCAACTTTTTCCTTAGCGAAAATGCAATCAGTCGCTCCGTTTACGAGTTATTAACGAAAAACAGTGACCAATCAGAGGCGAGATCGTTTGGCGCGAGACGGTCGAGCCAATGAGCGGAACTGGGCTCCGCGCACTCGTTGGCTGGACCGCCGCGCGCCAGCCGAGCTCGCCTCTTATTGGTCGGTGTTTTTCGTTAATAACTCGTAAACAAAGCCGCGGAGAAAATGACCGCAGGAACCTCCTATTTCCGGATTGCGAGACATTTTTGTGACACCCTGTATATATTTTTGGCGCAGAAATATATACTTCTGGGTGCTCGCGGTTTCCAAACTCAACTAAACTCCCGTTGTCGAACCGATGAATTAATTGATACGATGGGGAGATAAATATTTAAAGGGTCCAGCATTTATTTTGCTTTTACGCGTGCCGAACAATGTAGAATACAACTGTGTACATTGTCAAAGCTCCAGGCATTCGTTTACGTGTGATACGGGGATGGAAAGACAAAAACTTTATCTTTTATTTTCTCGGTGATTGCTGGACCGCGGATTTTATGCGTTTCTGGGAAAAAATCGGAAGATGAAATGCGAAACTGTGAAAACATTTGAAGAGTTTAAAAAGACTACTGCGTTACTATCGATTGCTATCGATTAATGCGAACTGTTTTTATTTTACGTAAAACTCCGCGGTCTAGTTATTACATAAGATAATTTAGACGAAATAGAGAAGCGAAGACGAAGCTGCAAATTAGCTTCCTTTAGGATACTTTTTCAGAATTTTCAATCGATTACCAAGGGCTAAAAAACGTAATTCATTTTTCAAGGGAGATTTTCACGAGCAACCCATTGTTTAAACAATTTGGAACGATGTTCTGGCATTTGTTTATTGTTCACGAAGGTTTCGAGATGATGTAATCGATGGAACATGGTTTCGTAATTTTTAAAATTTATTGAAACTCTCGGATCTCCGTTATTTTTATATATGTTACCGATCTTGACGTTTCGAATCGCGAAGAACAGCGTTTAACGCACTAACAAAAAAAACGTTCGAAATGGCACGGATGATAAAGATTCTTCATGCTTATCCTGTTAGACCATTTGCAAACTCTTCGACGCGAAATAAATTATGACGCATCTGTTTGCCAAATCGTGGCACTGTTCGCACATTGTTCACGCGTTTCAAAGCGATGCACAAGTTACGTAAATAATTCGCGAAATGAATTTGGATTTTGCAGTGCTACAGTGTCTCGTCAGACTCGGTTTTATGTATTGAATTGGCAGGAAAGTAATTTCGGCGTTTCAATGTGAAACGAAACTCAATTTTTTCTACACAAGAAATGAACTTTAATCGGTCAAATATTTTCCATTCTGTTAGATAACCTTTTGCCGTTTCATAAAATTTCTGGAAAATGTTCATTTATACGCTCCGTGTTAAAATCGACAGAAAACATTGATAGAAAATCACTTGTAAACGAAACTGCACGGAATTTGTTTCTATAGTAAGCTAAACGTATCAACTGCCAAAAATGAAGACAAGAAAATTATAACCTTAACGAAAGAATGACGACGCAAACGTAACGCTATCTATTAGTGCGAACTGAAATTACTTTCTTGCCAACCCAATATAATGAATCAGAAATAAGATCCCACATTATAACCTTAACAAAAGAATGTCAATGCAAACATAACGCTATCTATTGTCGCGAACCGAAATTACTTTCTTGCCAACCTAATACAATTAATCAGAAATAAGATTCCACATTATAACCTTAATAAAATTATGACAATGCAAGCATGACGCTATCTATTAGTGCAAACCGAAATTTATTTCTTGCCAACTTAATACAATGAATCAGAAATAAGATTCCACATTATAACCTTAAAAAAGGTACGACAATGCAAACATAACGCTATCTATTAATGCAAACTGAAATTACTTTCTTACCGTCCCAACAACAATGAATCAGAAATAAGATTCCACGGACACGTAATTGAGGGGTTCGTAGCAGAAGCAACCCTTGTCAAGCACTTTGAGGTTCGTGTCAGGAGCACTGTTTAAGTTCTCGAAGTAATACGCTTTCCGCAACAGATCGTAGTGGATCGACCGTCGGCTGTAATTGTGCGAATAAGCGTCTCTTAATTCTCGCAACGGTTCGGCGCGCGACGTGTTTTCCGTGCTAAACAGAAGTTCATAATTCCGCGCGTGTGGTCCGTTTAAGTCGAACGCGCGGAAACTAGCGTGCCGCACAAAAGACAGTCGTCGCTCGAGATTTTGTCGTCGGGACGGACGCATGAAAGCGTTTACCTTTCGCAAAGGCGTGCTGGAAGTGGCTTTTGTGTAATTCACGGCGACGGGAACGGTCGCCGGTGTGTGTAGACACACCGATACGGGCGCTGCTGCCGTTCTGACGCACGGGCGGAACGTTTTGCACGACTGACGCGCCGATAGCGTCACACAGTTTACTGGGATTCGTTTAACGCGATTCAAACGAAAGTTGGTGAAGTTGGTCCGGTTACGCGACAGCCGCTGTCGGGGCAGTGGTGCTCGCGCAGAGTCAGAAATTGGCCACGGTGATGTTCAAATTTTGCGGCGCCGATCGTATCACCTATTTCGGGAACACCCGGTGAGTGTGTTAATAACTAACATGGAAATATTTTAGCGAATCGGAAATGTATAAGTAAAATAAATGTATGAATAAATAAAATGAAGTAATAAGTAAATATATAATATAGTAGATGTATAGTATAATAAATATATAATATAGTAGATATATTGTATAATAAATATATAATATAGTAGATGTATAGTATAATAAATATATAATATAGTAGATATATTGTATAATAAATATATAATATAGTAGATGTATAGTATAATAAATATATAATATAGTAGATATATTGTATAATAAATATATAATATAGTAGATGTATAGTATAATAAATATATAATATAGTAAATATATAATATAATAAATATATAAGTTGTATAACTTTCTCTGTTTATCTGTCTGTGTATGTGTGTATGTGCAATCTTAAATAAAATACTTATTCCATATAACTATATATTTTTCTTCTATTTCTTGATTGTGGTTGCTGTTTATAAACCGAAACTTTTCTTTATGACATCATATCTAATTTAAAAAGTAGTTAAAAATGCCCGAATAGAAAAACCAGACAAGTTCGGGGTTTTTATGCCTTTTGTCCTGGGTTCGCGATTTTATACAGGGTGGGCCACGCAACTCGTGCACCGCTTATAACTTCCAAAATATGCGTCGCACGAAAAAAT